AACGTTTCAAGAAGAGACTGAAGTTGAAACCTGGGGCCCGTTGCCAGTAACGCCTTCAATAGTCATGAGCAAGGAGCTATATATATATATATATATATATAGATAGAGATCAGAAGTCCCTTCCCTATTATCTACTTCTGATATAGATATATATCTAGCTCCTCAGTCTTTGCTATCGTAATTTTAACGTGTCCAGGGCCGTACGCAGCAGGGGGGCAGCAGGGGCAGTTGCACCCCTAGAGATTTTCAGAGTATGCCTTTTAATGGGACAAATACTGTAGACTTTTAGAAATAAAATAGAAATGTGACAAAAGGTTATCTTAAATCATCAAAAAAATATTACACTATAAATAAAGAAATGTGAAATTGCAAAACGTTAGGGCACAGGAAGCATGGGAAGTACCTTTGCCCCCCTACAGAAAATTTCCTGCGTACGGCCTTGAACGTGTCATAACTTTTAAACAATACTTCTGTTGCAAAAGTTGTGACGTCATATACTGACAGTAATGACAGTAACTGCTGTTGATTGACAATGGATACACACACCCACCCCCACCTCACCAATGTCGCGAATATATTTTGGCAGCGAGATTTTAGTTTAAATCTTTTACGATGGATTTTCATGACTTTGAACTTCACCTCGATACTTGATGGATATTTCTGACACTGATATGTACTATCGCATCACATGCCAATGTACACGACGCACCAAGTTAATTCGATTGAAACACATTTGCATACAATGTTGGCAGAAGAGAATCACGTATTGTCATGATAACTTAGCATCGTGAGTTCTGGCACTACAGCCCCTGACACCCAGGCTCTGCCCCTAACTCCTATGATATCATGATAACTTAGGGTTAGCATCGTGAGATCTGGCACTACAGCCCCTGACACCCAGTCAACTTCTGCGGGGGGGTAAGCAAGAGTTTACTTTAGCTTGGCGCCCTGTCTATGTGAAATGCGGCTTTCCAGAACGAGAGCAATACGTTTTGTCGGCGATTGTTGAAAGTTTGGTGGTAACGGTTGGTCGCGATACATAGAGCGTGCGCACAACTGTTTGTAGAAAATATAGTCGTTATTTAACTGCGTGCATCTAGAAGACTGTATATACTTTATAGATTATTCATATGTGTATATGAATATGCACTATATTTTCTCATATTTCTATCGTGTGTCGGCGTAGATGCCCGTATAAATACTTGGTTGCTCGATGGTTACGGGGACAGGGTTATAGCTATCTCGTTTATGGGCGCGGCGTTGCTGTGTAGTGGTGGCAGCACCATCTCAGCTCTGGCAGCAGCCACCCTGCTGTCCCTCCCCAGCGCCCTCTGTGGCTATAGTCTACCGACTCAAGGTGGCGCCAGTAGTCACTGCGTTCCAAAGTCCCTTCGTGTAGATTTCTTCGTAAAGGCACTACACCGTCGTGTTTCTGCGACTAAAGGATGGTCGTCGCCATGGCGACGGATGTTGTGAGCGGATAAAGTTGGCGATACGCTTCAGGAATAGACGGGACATCGTGGTTTCGAATTCGCTCTGTTGTATTCATCTTTGTCGCTGCCAGCGTACTAGTCTTAGTAGATCTATTCAGTTTGTGGTTCCGTACTTGCGTGACCCTTAAGCTGGGTTTACACTGCCAACTTTGTGTTGACGAATTGCCGAATTGTACCAACTTCGCAATTTCGCAACTGACAATCGGCAGTGTAAACGCAAAAGTTGCACGTCCAACCGATCGATAGCAGCTAGTTGGGAGATTAGAACATGTTCTAATTCGGCAATTCGGCAATTAGCCAACTCAAAGTTGGCAGTGTAAACCCAGCCTTAGGGGATTACTTAGGTAGGAGCTGTTAAATCTGCTGCCTCATGTAAACGTGTGATTTTTTTTATCCGATCATAAAACACGAGATGTGAATAAATGTTCTGTATATCTGTGTATTAGTGGGGCATCTGCACACCAACACTGGCTTTTCCAGTCATCGTAGACAGATGCAATTCTTGCGAGTGTGAAACCAATTGGTTATTATTTAATAATTAGTTAAATACAGTTCGTTCGATTCTGGAATCAATTGTAAATTTGTTTTTGATATCCCGTGTACGGTTGAATGGCTGTCACGAAGTGAGGATGAAAATAAAGTGAGATGATTTAAGTATATTCCACGTCTATCTTCGCTTGTTGGTTCTATTCTCAGCACACCAGTCATATGTTTCTTTATCAGGGTCCCCACAGCCCTTGAAAGTCCTTGCATTTTGTATCAATATAGAATATTGAATTAGTGTATAAAACAACTATTTTTACTTTATATATGAATCTAATGTATATATGATGACTACAAAATGCTAAAACTATTGTCACAGATTGTGCTTGAAAAAACATGTCCTTGAAAAGTCTGAAAAAATAATTCACACTTGTTGGAACCACGTACCGAGTACCTAGCAGTAATAGTGTACCATATAGAATAAACCACCACGAAAAACCAAGAAATTACCAATAATACCTTTTCATTAAATATCTGGTATTCTATCTATTTCTATCTATATGTATCTGATATGTCTATCTATTTATATGGTACTTTAATCTATATCCTATCAGGTTATATTCTCTCGCTCCATTTCCATCGCCTCTCCGTTTCTTCCTCTTCCTCACTTCCTTACTCCCTTCTCGCGGATAGTATCGTCCACGACCAGGCAAGCATGGAAAAACATTCACCAGAAAATGATCGTATTTCAGCCGAAACTTTTTCACCCCCCCCCAAGGCACAAAATGTTATAATACGCATTTTTACAGTCACACAAACACACATACACACACATTAACGGACGCGCACACACGGGTGTGGTCGCACGCACGCGTGCGCGTGTATTATAGGCGTAAATTCACATTTTGTGCCTCGCGGTGTGAAAAAGTTTCAGCTGAAATACAGTCATTTACCTGCAAAAGTTTTCCCATGCTTGACTGGTCGTGGGCGACACCATCCGCGAGAGGGGAGTAAGGAATAAGTGATTACTTTTATTCTGACTGTTAATGTTACTGCCTGACACAGCAGATGAAAGGTCAGCATAAAGAACCGGCAATTGTTTATTATTATTATTAAATCTTTATTGCATGTAATTCAACTACAAATGCATGTGCTGAAGTCTTTTTCATGGAGAAAAAAATCTGATGAATGCAACAGTGTTGAGCATTAACATACAGTACATTGTATGATAAATAGTTCTGAGTGATACATGTTACATCAAAGCTTTACATATTGTTACAGGACTGTGACATGTATCTACGTGAATGACAATATGAAACGACTATTGTGTATGTCGGTAATCGGCGAGCTATAGCGGCTGTTTAATCTGGTGTAAAACAACTATTTTTACTTTATAGTATGAATCTATTATCTAAGGTATATATGATGACTCGAAAAAGCTAAAACTACTTGTCACAGATTGTCCTTGAAAAAAACGTCATTGAAAAGTCATTGAAAAAATAATTAACACTTTTGTGGGAACCATGTGTATGAGTCACGAGTGTTTGTTCACATCGAACGGAATGGCAAAATAGGAAGTATAATGCAGCAATTTAATCATAAAACGTGAACAGAATCCCATACATTTCGTGAAAAAGTGGGAATTTTCTTTTACTTTTACTATTTACGGTGACGTGTTAAAATGTTGCGCACACACTTACCTGCGCACACTGCGACCAACAATCCGAACAGTAAACCTAAACAATAAAAAAATGTCTATCAAGGCAATAAAAATTTTATTAAACATTTCATTCATAACAATCGTTACCAACGCAGTGCCAACACTCGGAAATTCGCATTAG